TTTGGGTTTCAACAGAATTTTGTTCTCTTACAATAACATTTAGACTGAATTTTGTTGGGCAACAGTCAGGGGATATAGTCAGGTTCATACAGATTTTTGAATGGCTACAGTGAGGGCAGGACAGAATTTTCTTGGGTTACAGTCATGTTCTGATTCTACTGGTTGCAGGTACGGTCATATTGGACCTGGGCAGAGAATGTTATTAGGCTGTATTAGGTTTTATATTTAAATTTCAGGGTCTACCCTTCAAAACCCCCTTTCTACATCATTCAACCAACACTAGACAAGTGATTTGTACTTTGGTATATGAAAGTGAACCTTTATAATAATACAAAAAAAAATATATGGGGAACTCTCAAGAAATAAAACAAAAATAAATTAAAATATAATGTGAAAAATGATAAAAATAATGTGAATTGATACAGACACATTTTTAAAAAGTTTCCATGTTCTTTTTGAGATTTTTGAGACTTTCTCAGTCTGCTCTGTCTTTTACTTTTATGTTCTAGTATCTGTAATATTGTCACAATAATCAAAGATGTGTTACTTTAGCACAGGGATGTGTGACAGTATTGAAAGGATTACATATGTATGTCTGATTAAATGAATTAGATCTATTCTACTGCAACAGTAAAGATTTATAAGATGTTTTTAATTGGGACATAGAACATCGGAGCAGCACTGTGTGTCAGGAAGGCAAATCTTTTGCTTTTCTTCACCTTAATGATCTGAGAGTTTAGTGAATAGGAAAGCAAATGAAAGAATATGTAATATTCAAGTCACATAGGACCCCTCAAATAAAGGACTAATTCAATTAGGATGGAGAAGAACCAAGTCCATTGTCTTGATGAATTTGGGTTTAAACAGACTTGATATGGTCTGTCAGACCCCATTAGAAAGCAGCAATGAGACTAAGAGAGAGAGAGAGAGAGAGAGAGAAAGAGAGAGAGAGAGAGAGAGAATTTAGAATCCATTGACACTTTCCTTTTTCAGTTTTAACATGAATGGCAATGGAATGCATGCAAGAGTTAACTATGAATGTGCTTTTAATAAAAAAGATTTTAAAATGTGCAGTATGTGCCTGCAGTTCCCGATTCTATGTGAAGTGGTACTATTGGGTAGAAAGTCTGTCATCTTCCGTGTCTGCAAATACAGCTCTGTTTAAAGGAGATCTATTTGGTTTTAGAAATTCTAGAGTCAACTACAATTATGATTCCAATTTAACAAGTAATTTGGAATTCAGATTCCAAATTGCTTGTGAAACAAGACTCAATTCCAGACAATTTTATCAATTCTCGATTCCAGAAATCGTGGCACAAGTCCAATTTACACATGTATTTTTACATTTAACATTAATTAAACATGCGGTGAGTAAACATAAACACAAATCACAGTTGAAATGCTGGTAGAATTGACACAGCAACTTACCTGCAACTTAAGACCTTGTATAATTCCCATGAAATTATTTGTAAATCATATGTGACCAGAAGCTGATATGTGTCCAAGGAAACAATGATGCCTTGATTAATGTTTCTGAGATAGTTTTTTTTATACTTTTCACATTTTGCGTGTGAGAAACAATATCAGAGAGCATTTTTTGTACAAGATTCTAGTAACAGATCTTTGAAGTGAAGTTGCCATATATACCCCATGAGCATGCAAGGCTGCTACTGCAGCATGACCCTCAAAATGTGTCACAATGAGACCACAATATGTGCCTGGATTTACTGCAGCTTATCATGCAAACTGTGCATAACTCTGCCCACTTAATGCTCACTTGTGAGGTGCAGGGTTCAAAAGGCACAGTGAAACTATGGAACCGTTAACAAGTTCAAGACAAAAAAAATGAAAGTTGAAGGTTGAAGAGGTAATGATATCCTACAGGGGGGTTATTTTACTACAGCTAAGAAAACAAAAACACAGACTGTCTGTATATATTGGAGCTGCATCACCGAACATATAAGTTCAGGTGTTTTGAGTTAATTCAAGTGAATTCACTCAAGAAGACTCTCAGTCAAGCTTGTACAAGACAGTCTGTGGCCTTGTGAAGCAATGAAGTCCTTCATTTAAAACTGCAGATCTACATGTAGAGTATTTGATGTATTCCCAGCAACCTGAATGGTGACAACTTTCAGCCCTCGAGGAACAAGACTGAAAATCCTCTCCACATTCCACACAGTAATTCCACATGGATGGCAAATTTTTGATATTTGGACCGAACTCATAACATCATGGCTTAGCATAGTTAAAGAATGCTCAAAGTCTATAATGTTAATGCACTTTTATATGTATTCATGCTTTTGGTTTTAGCATGTTTTGTTTAGATCATCTAAACTCATATATTTAGATCTCTTACCTTTGCATGCAATCTCTCCTATACTAACAAATATCCATGATATATAAGCTTCCACCTTTATAAAGCTAAGTAACACCACCAGCTTTGGTGTAAGGTTAAGTTAATTCTCACTGTGCTGCACTCATTTAAATTCAGCCACCGTCTTTGTTGTGGCTTGGACTAGAACAAAGGGTCAGCTGAGTGGACCACCTGTGAGTGCCACATTTTATGATTTGTTTATATATCTGAGACGGATATATAAAATTGACTGATTACTTAATGAGACTAATATTTTTAAGGCATCGTGTAGCAAAACCCCTACAAATATGTAATACGCCACACATGCCTCATATCTCCACCCCTTTTTTTTTCCTATAATCCACCCCAATCCAATAGTTTGTGCAGCCCTACCTCAAATGAATATGCATGAGGAAGAAAAGAGCATGATGCATCTTAACCATGCATATGGCCAAAAAACGACATATTTAGTCTTAGTCTTATGTGCCAGTTCTGTAGCTAACATATGTCTGATTTGCACCCGAAACTGGAAACAAACTTTAACCTTGCTATGTGGAATGGAGTGCAAACCTTTGAAGTTGACTCTCGAATCCAGGAAACTGAGAAGTGACTCTTTGTTGGATTAACTCCCACTCCTGGTGGAAAGCAAAGAATCTTCAAAAATGAATCACATATTCATTGTGGCTCCCTGACAGGTGATTTTTACTTGAAATTTGGAAAACAGCTAGACTTCTGTATGCCTTAAACCTTGTCACCCTGTGAAGGTTAACATGAATTATAAATCATATTGCATATTTCTTTCATACTGTGAGGTATTTCTAAGTGAGACTTGCTATCTTGAGGGATGGGGGGACTCTGAATTCAGTGAAACAATGACCGTGACGTAACCAAAAAATTAGAAGACATTTGACTCAACTTGTATAAAGTAAATGGTGAACGTCTCTGCTAGGAACACATTTCAAGCTTTGAAGCACAAGCCTTTCATTCAAAATGTCTTTAAGAAAGCATAGATTCAATGATGTCAAAACTAAACCACTGACTAGTAATATATTACCTTTTCTGTAAATGTGATTGATTCCTCAGCCAGCTCCTTGTTCATGGTCAATAGGAAATGACCCTATATCCTTCCATTCAAGTACTTTCTTTCTGGATAAATGGCACTCATATGTGATGGAGGCAACTGTAGTTTCAAAAATACACAGTTGTGACATTTGAAAGTACTCATTCACACCTAAAGTGACGCAGATACAATGCATCACGTCCATGTAATTGCAAAATGAAAGACAATAAGCCCGGCTGATAGAAGGCAACGAGTGGCGAGATGAGGGTGCCCGTTTCAATTATGTACATTAGTTATAGATGAGCAACCTTTGGGGAAGACCCCATACAGGAGGCATTTGCAGGATTAATATAGTGTGGAAGACCATTTTCTTGCACGTAATTGCACCCTAATTATCCATTAGTTATTGAATTAGCCTTTTGTCTGTTTGTCTCGAGCAAAGGGCTTGGCAGGGTAGTCATCTACTTGGCTATCAAGAGAGAGAGAAAGAGAGAGAGAGAGAGAGAGAGAGAGAGAGAGAGAGAGAGAGAGAGAGAGAGAGAATTACATGAAGATCATCAGCTTGTAATTAAGCTCCAAATTGCTACAAGGCAGCCATTAGCTTATTCAGTGTATCAACTACACTGCTCCAGTTTCCTCTATTTGGTTGTGCATTGAAACAGTGCTGGTTCTGCTACCAACACAAGTGAATCTGACTGATGGGGTTTTAAAACCTCAGTGTCACTGCTGGACTGAGAATAGATTAAGTGACCCTTATTAGTCCCACAACAAGGAAATTTCACCTCTGCATTTTTACCCATCCATGCAGTGAAACACCACATACACTCTAGTGAACACACACACTAGGGGGCAGTGAGCACACTTGCCCAGAGTGGTGGGCAGCCCTATCCACAGCGTCCAGAGGAGCAGTTGGGGGTTTGGTGCCTTGCTCAAGGGCACTTCGGTCACGTACCACCACGTCAATGTCACCCAAATAGTACTTGCTCTGTGAGGGTCTGTGGGGGTCCTGATCATTGATAAACAGAGTAAAGGTGGGTTTAAAAAGTATGCAGAGAAACAGATGGACTACAGTCTGTAATTGTAGAAATACAAAGTGCTCCTATATCGTAATTGGAGCTGTACCTAATAAAGCACTCAGTGAATCTAGAGTTTTGCCCAAGGACTCGTATAGGTATAGCTTACCCCGGCAGAAGACCAAACCCCAATCTGCAGTATGGGAGGCAGTGGTGTTACCCACTATACTATACCAACCTTACCACATCCATTGCTAACAGATGTATAATATATACATATGCATAGCTGTGCAATCTCCATAAAGAGACACTAGTGGTATAGTGGATCATACTAAAGAGCTCAGGGTCTTTAACTGTCATAGGATGTCACCTTTGCCACAAATCAGTTTGTGGAATTTCTGCCCTGCTAGATCTGCCCCTGTGATCTATACTGTACATTTACTGAACTAATACTGTTCCTTATTTTCAAATTCATAATTGCAATTTCAGAAAGATAAAAACATCTGAATGCTCAGGCTACTAGTGTTTCACGGCCAACCAGAACTTTCCAAACAAAATAAGAACACGAGGTAACTCTTATAAGATTCTACCATTTATTACACATGATGACATTCTTAAATAAAATCGCTTCACTCAACAGTTCTTGCATAGATATATTACAATACCAATTTAAAAAAGAATTACGAAACAAACCAGTAACAAAAATAAACTCTTCTTTTTCTTTTTTCCTTAATAAAGAACATTGTCATACTAACATCGTATAATACAAATAAGATTTGGAAATGCTTTTTACAGCAAAGAAAGCACAACTTAAAGGAATAAAGAGAGAGACAAAGAGAGATTGAGGTGGAATAAATGGGTGAGAAAGTGGCAGAGAGAGCATATCACTGCAAAAAGACATGAATTTACAGGAAGAACTTGGGAGAAGAGGAAAATGATACTCAGTGCAACATTGTGTGTTGTTTTATGATCAAACTCTTTCAGCATCATCTCATCCAGTTGACAACCTTCAGTGCAACACAGAGCAGCAAACATGAATGGATAGATGGTGAGAAACCAACCAGAGTTGTTTGTGTTTATCCCAAGTTGATGCAGTGTGGATATGAATCAGAGTTCAGGTCCAAGAACATTCCAAGCTCTGGAAACTGAAGCAAGAGGTGTTGGTGGTGTAGTGAGTGCATCTATACATACAAGGATCTATGCAAAAATGACACCAAGACCCATAGTTTTTCTTGAAGCGCTTGTGTGTGAATGTAAAACGATGAGTGAGATAGGATGATGCCCCATATGTAGCACAAGACATAATAGACAAGCATTTATGGACACGTGTCCAGTTTGAAACTGGTCCTACAGAAGAGGATATGGAGTGTGGTGAATACACACCGACCATGTGGATGGTGAACAATGGGTGGAGGTCTGTTATGTTTAGAGCTGCTTCAAAACGTCCCTGAAATCTTGCACTATAAGTTAGTAAGATGTTTCTAGGCTTTTCTGCTGCCTGGTGTGTTTTCTATCGAAGCTTTGGCCAATTCAAAGCTCTACAGTACATGATAAAAGAAACTAAGCTTACATAAACCTTGAAACCTTACATGTGCACTACATGTGTACGACCTTCTATTGACACCCATGTAACATAAGCTTGTAATTTAGAACTGTATGTCCCTGTTAATGTTAATGTGTTGACGGCAATCTGAAATACTGATTACAATCCATTAAAGTCCTCATGTTTGTAGTTGCACTCCATAATATCTCAGAGGAGCTGAATGTGTTGTAGTCTTCAGTAGTTTCTTTAAAGTAGGGGACTGGGATGACATTGAGTCTTTGTCATTTTTTATCGAAGCTAACTTGGCCTGGGAGACGGTTGTGAGTGGGGAGGGTTGTGGGTAAGCTGACACCCAGCTACATGGGTGAAATTGACTGTGTCGCGCAGTAGCGATAAGACCTTCCCAGTCAGCATAAGTTCAACGTGCCACTCCCCACCACCTCCGCCCCCTGGAGTGCTTAGTTCCACCTCATTGAAGGACTGACCAGGGCGGCTCACTGCCAGGAGAGCCCAATTCCTGTCTTGTTACCAGTACGGTCCTGCTGTCAGATGGCTCCCGCATTAGTTCACGTCAGGCAAGCGAGTGAAAAGGGCATGGTACATGATGCTGACAGATGACCAGACAGCAGGAGATTGGGCCTAAATATCACACACTGGTGTGGTGCCTTCTTTGTTTAGGAAGTTGGCATGAGGGTCCGTGTTGATTTTTTGTTATTGTTAGTTTGCTTCTGAATTCTATGTCAATCCATTGCCTCTAGGATAGTAATCATTTACTAAACAATAATATTAATAGTTTTAGTTTTAATCCTTAAAGTCAATGTTATGCCCACTGGTAGCAAAGGTATGATGTAATTTTATATTCATTATTTTTCACTCATGGCTTATGGAAATAAGCAGAGAAGTTGGAATTTTTGAACATTTGTGTTTTTGTGATTGTGTTTGTATTTTTTGATAAAATGTTATTGTTATCATCACATCTGTGGAGCAAAATGTCAATATAGAATGTAATGTAAATGTAATTTATTGTGTAAATTTACTGCTTTGCTAACATCTGAATAGTAAAACAACAGCAAAATGAAAGTAATAACTTGGCTTCTATGGGTTAATCTATGCACTTACATACTAAATGATGGACTATGTTTGAGGACCAGAGTAGTTCCTTCTTTTGTTGATGCTCTATCATTGAGAATGCAGAACCCACGCAGAGTTTATGGCACTGGCCCAAGCCACACTTCCTTAAAAGTGCTGAAACCCTCTCAGGTGTCATCTCTTGATTGTTATTTGTATTTCTATGCATTTTCCAACACTGTCAAATCACACACTACATGAAATGGGTTTAAGAAACTAAAAAAGAACCTGTGATTATGGCCTCAAAGCTTGAAATGTTAGATATGCCATACACAAAACATGAACGGTGACCAGCTATTCTGACCTAAGTGACGGCTCATGACAACCTAAAACATTTAAGGTGACCTGCCAACACACTGTTCACGGAAGCCTTCGCAAACGCTCGTATCTCTCTTACATTCATCATAAATGTCACACAAAGCCCAGACGATAATCATTCAACGTCAATAAAAAAAACCCAGTGGAATTCACGAGGATATCAGAAAATGATCTTGCGATATTTACAAAACACAGCCGTTCTCACTTTTTCTAGCAGTGTTGTTTTGATGTACACTATGCACAACTAAAAAGACGTTTCAAAGCTCACTGACAAACAATGCTGCTTTTTTTTCATCACTGCATGCTAGTCCTGGACAGCCTGAAGAAACATATCAAGCTGTGTGGGGGGAAAAAAATGCTGGGGAGCGTAAATAGCGCCGGGGGACGCTCAAGATGTGTGCAAGAACAAATTTGCTTTTTTTTTTTATCCTTGACAAGTATTAAAGTAGGCTTTCATTCCAAGAATTAAGCCGATTTCAGATGCTGTCTGTGTGCAGAATCCTTAACTCTTCATTACACTTGTGCAAATAGCAACTGTTCTTTCATTGTGCACATCAACAGGACGAAAGCAAAGAACGCCTAGTATATATTTTTTTTAATTTTTCATTTGTAGGAAAGGTCCAAAAGTGTCGCTGCGCAGCTGTTGGTTGGCGGGGAGGGACATTTGAGAGAGGGAGAGTTGTCCATATGTGTAGAAGGGGAGATGTCTTTTGTTCCACTGCCTCCAATCAGTTCATTGTGCACAACATAATGATACAGGAGATCCCATCTGGTCACCTTTTGCTTTTTAAATTCACACTTTCGATCCCAACAATGGCTTGAGGAAGCAAACAAGATACGGTTGGCTCAAAAACAGAGAACCAAAATAGTACTGTAAGTCAACGAATGGAACCATCCTTCAGAACAATGCATTTCAGAATCATTGTTCAAAGTTCCCATTTGTGTTAACTGCGATATACAATAGATATGATACGTTCCCATGTTATGCATTGGTGTCAGATGTAGGCTGTAGCCATGTTGATTCATGACAAAGTGCATACAAGGTTTTGTAGTTAATGCTGCTAGAAAATTTGGTGTTGAGTCTGAACTGAAGGGAACTGGATTTCATTACAGCAGCTCTGCATGGCTGAAGTGGTGTATGTTCCTGTTCCACCGTGTAATTGGCTCTTATTGGGCTAGTCAAGGTTGTGTCAATTCTCCAAACTTGGACCACAAGGTCCAGGCAAATCAGTGTGACTCACACAGGATGGTCCAAGTCATCTGGCCTAACCATTCCAGCCCGTGCTCCTGCTGCGAGCGTTTGGGTATATCCAGCATATTCAATCATGCCTTCTGTATGTATCCTTCAAGGTCTTCTGCTGGAGTGACAGGCAGACAGACCTGTGTGCTGTTTGCCTTTTCCCCTATGCACTCTCTCTCTCTCTCTCTCCAAATTCCCACTTTCTCTTCCTCTCCCTTGCTTTCGAGCCAGCTCCTCCTCTTTAAATATGCCTTTTCATGTGCAGTGCCAAGTGGTCCGACCGCGAGAAGCACCTGTAGGAGAAAAAAAAAACAGGGCATGAAGAATCAAGGCAGTTGACGAGCCACTCGACATGGTACTTTCTGAAAGATTAAAGGAATAGGTCATGCATTATTTACCCTAAAATGCTAATGTCAGTATTAAATGATGAAAGCTAGTTGGCAGCTAATGACGATTAGCTAATTAAGAAATATCATGCTAGCTTTTTTTTAATGTGATATCATATTTATGCATATTAGCATTTTTTTTAGGCATGGTCCTTGAGGTTGCTGCTTCCACCACTGAGTACTTGCAGCATTCTTTATATTTTTGTATATTATACTTTATAAAGCACATATCATTGAACTAAATTACAGGGATTTTATATATAAAATATATGTAAATATGTGAGGTGACTGAGTTACAGTGCTCAGAAAGGAGCTGTTGATATTCTTTTGGCAAAGTTCGACAGATGGTGACTCGAGATGCTGCCAGGAGGCATCAAACCAGCTGGTCCAATTCCACTCGCCCCTCCCAAGACAGGGGGTCCGGACATGGGCAGGACGGATTATGGCTCGGCCTGAGGGCCAGTCTACAGGTTATGTGTCTCACTGTGCTGTATTTAAGGCTAAAGTCAGGCAGGGAGTCTCTCTGTATGCTGTTGTCGCCCAGCACACACACAAACGTGCACACAACATTCATTCTTATGGTAATCTGGGCCTCCCTTGACAGCAGCAGAGTAGATACCCAAAGGTGTCTGAAAAGGCAGAATAGGCAGGGAGGGAGGAGCACTGCTGGGAAACAGACACTCCAAGCCTAAAATGCGTGAAGGACTTATTTACATCAAAAGGAGGGATGAGTTGAGATTCCCTTCAGAGCTCCTGGTCAATATCAGGAGATGGTCTGATTTTCCAGCAAGAGCATTAAGCTAAATTAAACTAACCCTCCAACGCATGACTGAAAAAATGTTTACTTTTTCTTGACCATATCAACTGAATCGCATTATCAGATTTTAGAGCATTTCTATTGGTCCATTCAACATGAAATTTAAGAATGAAAAGAAACAAATATGGTTTTCCTTGGACAGCGATAATATGCTTCTTTCATTACAAAACAGCCAATCTTGGCATCTATTCTGTTGAATGTGCTGTTGAACATGGATAGCATTAACTGCTTGGTGCTGTTCATCATCACTGTCTGTAAAAGGAAGAAGTATCTTCAATTTTTGCAATTTTTATTTTTCTACAGTATTTGAGCAACTGTCCTTTACTTTTTGTGAAAATTTCACAATAATTGGACCAGTAGAAATGCTCCAGAATTGCCTGGAATAAAACATCCTTACATTAACTTACACTGAAAATAAGGAACATTTTTGCCCGCTGCTGTAAACATACCATGGTATACTACTTGTTTTTCCTTTGGACAGAGAAGATAGATGACAAATGCTTGCAATTTGCTCACATTACTTTAAATCAGCAATAGCTGGCGAAAAAAAAAACATTCTTCCCACCGAATGACAGCATATCCAGTGCTCTCACGGACTCCTCGCTATAGAAGCTTCTTACTGCTAGGACAGCATTTTCCCCCTGTTTTATTTTCTCCAATTCAGTGTTGGCCAGTTCTACTCACTGGCTAAGTGTCCCTCAAAATATTACCAAGTTGGGTAGGGTGAGGCCAGCATGTTTGTCCTCTGAATCACATGAAGCCAGCCACTGCATCATTTCAGCACGCTTGGAGGAGAATGCTAATTGCCAAATGCCACATCATCTAACATATACCTGTATCGCCTGTAAGGGGTGTTGGTGGAGGGCCATTGTATCATTACAGGTACTAATGAAGACTAAGATGTTATGCTCTTACATTAGTGGTTGCTTAGTCATTAAATGGTGCTCATATCAGGTTTGGGTGTGTAGAAATTCATACATGAGCTTTACACACTGTAACCTGCAAAAAATGAAACCTTCACTATGTAAGAAACACACAGTAAATATAAAGCCAGATGAAGATGTGTTGAACTCTGCTTTGTCTTCTTCGACAATGATTGAACATGTTTAGATGGATTAAGATGTGTATAACTTGCAAAACTGGAAACAAACTGGATTTGCATCTGTGTAGTGTTTTGTTCTGCCGGTATGAATTGTTTTCACAGCAGGGGGTTCTGACCCCTCCCATTCACAGCTCATTGCTTAGACTGTCAACAATATACCATCAATTTCCATTCCTCCTACAGGGCCTGCAGAAAAAGCCTACATGGCAGTTGCCTTTACCAATTATTGCCAAAAAATAAAAGCTGAAAAAAATGTATTCAAGAGGATTTCATGTAACAGTGAAAACGCAGAACCATTAATACACATATACCTCTGTTGTCTGATAATTGCTAATATATGAACTTGACATTGATCTCACCTGTCGCAGTGGGCGCACTTGAAGGGCTTGGCGCCAGTGTGTTTGCGATAGTGTCTCGTCAACTCGTCGCTCCGAGCGAACCGCCATTCGCAGCCTTCCCACGAGCACTTGTAGGGCTTCTCACCTGAGGCACAGACGAACACACACACACGCCAGATTGTCACACCAACTTCTGCCTTGAGGGAGACTGACGGCAGTAACTTTCTAATTCATTTGTGCTGGAGTTGATTAGCCCGTCTGAGCGGTGCGCCGACACAATTGGAGTTTATGAAATACATGATCGTCATTAGGCAGCACAGCTGTCGCACCAAACAAACTCACACCCAGCGATGAGCGTTCCCCTCATTTCAGCAGATGGGGGGAAACGCACTTTCGCTTCCAACTTCACATTTCCCTCCATGGAAGGCACTCCGAGAGGGTTCGGTTTGTGTACTTGTGTGCGTCTGTGAGTGTGTGTGTGTGGCGGCTTGTTTATCTGCTTAGTAAAATGTATAAATGGGGGGTGCGGAGCTTATTTGGGTGGTGGCAGAGGCGATCATTAGTGCAGTAATGATGCTTAATGGGGAGGAACTTCATATTTACTGTCAGCCAGCTGCCTCTGTCTCTACCATTAGCCACATCCACAAATCTTCCCAACAAGGCCAGCTCATTTCAGGAGAGAGGGAGCCTTTAAAACATACTTAAATGCTGATTCTTCCTTAGTTTGTGCATGTCAGTCCTTTCTTACCTAACCTGTCATTGCTGGGATCTTCAGAGACTTTGTCTTTGTCCCTTGTTAAAATCTGCCCCAGAGTAGTTACGATGCATATATGTCCATGTTGGTCATAGTAAAATGGATCAGCATGTGGAATTGGAGCTTTCTGTGTGTTGCCATGTTTCCTATCACTGTTTAAAACATGCACTGTGTCAGTTTCTAGTACATTCAGAATGGCTGTGGAAACTCATATTGCTGATTTGTGTCATCAGAGTAACAATAAAAGGCCACTGAACTGTGAAGTATATACATAGTTAAATGTTTGCTTGATCAAAACAGTAGGTTATGACAAACAATAAACTCTGCAAATGCGTGACTTTGTTATATGACAATTCTTGCATAACAAAATAAATGAAAAAACAGCATTGAGAAATCATGTTGCTAAATCAGAAGAATAGATTAAAATTGCTTTAAAGGAAATAAGACCACTGCTACCATTTAAGGGTGATATAGTTTCATTTCAGGAAATATGCATATATGGTTGAATAACAAAGTAAGTTAAGGTAAGGTTTGATAACTGGATCACTGTATGTCCAAACGTTTGAAGCGTTTCTTCTGAAATCAAGGGTATTAATAGGGAGTTGCTGCAGTAACAGCCTCACTTTACTGCAAGTTTTAAACTAGACCTTGATCTTGAACATTGGTGTGAGGATTTGATTGTATTCAGCCAAAAGAGCATTAGTGAGGTCAGATATTGATGTTGGATGATTAGTTCTGGATCACAAACCCAATTCCATATCATCCCAAAGATATTGGATGGTGCTCCAACACCAGTTCCACTGCTTCACAGCTCAGTACCTGTGGGCTTTATTTCCCTCTAGCCAATGCTTGGCACTGGGTTTCATGGTCTGTGCACCTGCTCCAGAATGCCCCACTCTTTTACCACTGCTTTCCTATGGAGATTATACAAGCTGCTTGTGCACAATTGAACACCTGTATCAGCAACGTGTGAACCTCAGCTGAAGTAGCTGAATTCCCTAATTAGAAAGGTTGTCTGGATATTTTTAGACACATCATGTGTAAAAGGTGGGAAACACCAAACTCTGTAATGCTAGAGGAAACTTCTGCTATAACTGTAACCCTTTCATGAAGCCTGATGAACCTGTTCTACCCGGTTCTACAAAGACCAAGAACCAGAAGAAACGTCTGTTTGTGTTAGTGTAAGTAACTAGTGTAAGTAAGTAAGCACTTAATGGATGTAGCAGTTTTGTCATCCAGGTACCCACGCAGAAAACAATTTAAACCACTTTAATTAAAAGTAATGTACACCAGCAAATATGATCACGTTCATTAAATGATCATATTTGTTCCTGAAATCATATTTGATTGCCGCGGTTTGCTGAGTGAATGCGTGAAAAGCCAGGCTTTTTTCAACACCGCCTCCAAAGCGCGCACACACAACACACAGCAGGTTTAGACCTGCACCCACCATGGCCACAACACCAAGCAATTATAAGTCAGGCAGGCAGGGATGCTGGAGTCGGTCACCTAGCAACCAGGCGCGAGCGTAAGACGGGAGGCGGCAGTGCAGCCGGTCGAATCTGGAACCAGCCAATTATGGCTTGCGCTGCCAAGGGAGGATGCAGTTGCCTGGCAACCACAGCAGCACATACTATGTGTGTGTGTGTGTGTGTGTGTGTGTGTGAGAGAGAGAGAGAGAGAGAGAGAGAGAGAGAGAGAGAGAGAGAGAGAGAGAGTTTGCGAGGACAGCGGTGTAAGGAGGAGGCTGTAAGTTGACACCGATGCCAAGCACAAGCAACCGCTTCCCCAATTACAGCCTACTGTTCAGCGGAGATGCACGCATGCTTGGCAACAGACCACCACTACCCCACAACCCCCCCTGACTTGCTCAAACTCACACACACACAATTTGAGCAGCCTTACAGGTGCCTGAAACATGGTTAATTACATTTCCCAGCTAAAACTGAGGCAGGCAGAGTGGTTATAATTTGCTATAGTGAAGGAAAAAGGCTTTTTCTGCCCATCACCACTACAGCTCCCCAAATCAAGATTCATTAGAATGGGCCTGAGAGCCGGAGACTAAGCAGAAAAGTCTGACCTGCTGCCACCTCTCTCCCTCTCTGTTCTCCTGAAATGTAGGCATGCCCTTTCTTATTATTAAGTGCCTCTCATGAAGCATGGAACCTGTATATCAAATAAAAAAATGCTAATGAGGTATTTACACTCACTGCCAGGCTGGATCTGCTGGCCAAAGCCAAATGAAAATGCTTGTGAAACTAGGCTGCAGATCTTCAACAGAGGCACTAAGACGTAGGTGTGTAACAATACATTATAACATCATAATAACAATGTGCATCGTAAAGATGTGACAATAAGTCGTGGAGCATGAACTCCAGAAAGCCTCACCTGCATGTCCCACTCATCCCACCTGCTGAGATTGATGCCTGCATGGACTCTTAACTAGAACTACTGGCTCATAAATAGAATTCACCCATTGAATTCTTCACAAATTTATACTAGTATGTCATCATGAAAGGTTTCTAAGAGTAGTCAGTGGGTTTCATGGACCTTCATTCTCACTCTGATGTGCTTTTAACAGTAGTAACTGGTTCTCATAGACCTGGTTCTCATCATTACTCTTGAAGGCTTCTAACAGTAGTCATTGGTTAACACCTTAACAAGCTATGGGCCCAAAGTTTTATTACACACTTCTACAACCTAAGAACAGCTCTATAAGTTTGCATTGAAGTGTTTGTAGTTACTGACTAATAAGCCTTTCTATGAAATTTAGATTAAGGGTTCAATCTAAATACCTCTGTGCAATGACAGGCTAATTTATTTTCTTTGTTCCATATTCCCTAGTGTGTATTTATTGTCCATTCCTTATTCTTTAGTCATATTTATTTTTTATTTTTTCCCAATTTTATTCCCAATTTAGACATGTCCAATTCCACTCACTAGTTAGCACTCCCCAATCACACGATACCACCAGCGCTAAGAGGGCGAAAGCTAGCACAGGCTTCCTCTGGGTCCTGTGAAGCGCCACCGCATCTTTTTGAACTGCTGCTAATGCAATGCCATTTGACAGATGAATGCACTCGGAGGAAAGAGCCAAGCACCAGTTCTATTACCACAGCTAACAGACGCTTGCGCTGGCCAGCATCAGGCTGGGTGATGGGGGGTGAGGGGGGACCCATCCTACGTACCCAGAGAGCAAGGCCGATTGCGCTCTCTTAGACTCCCAACCACGGATGACTGTAGCAATACCAAGGACCGAACTCGCAACCTCCTGATGATAGGGTCAAGACCCTTGCACTACTAGGGAGCCCCCTTTGTTTTGCTATCTGGTTCCCATTTTGAGTTTTGGTTTCTTTCAAGGTTTCTCTCTCTTGCTATTAGGGAATTTTTCCTTGACACTGTCAACCTCCGCTTGCTCACTTGGGACTTTGACTTGAATTTTTGTAAAAGTGCACCATACAAATAATATTGAACTGAAGTAAAATTGGACATATTATTAATTATGCAATTCAATTTTGTTTGAACACCAAAGTCCATAAGCAACCGTCACCAACCGTCCGAACTCCCTCCCACCCAACCACCCTCAGCTGGAAAGCTGACACAACAAAGTTAACATAGAAACAAAAGATAAACATCATAAATCAAAGATAACTTATTATATGTGTCCATACATATATAGAGACACCCATCTATACCTATATACCCCCACCAACACATATATAACAAAAAAATACTGGAGTAAAGACAGTGATGGCATAAAGAGATTGATCTGCTGTCCTGTCCTAGCATGCATTACAGTGTAGGTACTCTATATCCCATATTTACCATGTTCAAACACTCATGTATTAAGCAGTTCACTGATGAAACTGGCCAAGTTTTCCCATATTTGTGTTGTTGAAGCCTTAGCATTGCGTGTTCTAGCATGTGCAATACATGAGAGGGCATCCAATGCTGAACTATCTGATTTTTTTTTAACCAGCAATTATAATTTTGCATTGTTTCTCATTGAGCCGTAGATGTAAATCATCTTTCAGAAGCAATACAATTAGTTGTAGGGGAACTATTGATCAATATTGAAATAGTGGCCAGATCTGGCCCACCCATCTTTCGCTCTGCCCACCATCTACCTCAACCCATCTTCCACTCTATAAACATGATGTAGGATCTATAAAAAGTATATAAATTTTGCACTTGATAGACACCATAATCTTTTATAATAACAACTGTTTCACTGCATATCAGACAGGACGGTTAAGTATTTCAGAACCAAAAAAATATTTGCATTGGGAGAATTTGGCTCCTGGTCAAGTTTGATGTTGCACATGTAAAATATCACATATTGTTATTGCACCAAAAAATAATCCATATTGGTGCTTCTCTGCAAATTAGCTAGTAACGGTTCTGTGGTCAGAAACTGACCATTGATGGGTAAAGTAGCTAGTTGGCTGATAAACTGGGCATCAATAAATGTTCTTAAAACAGCCAATAAGAAGGTGTTTTTAATAAAGTGGACATTGAATGAAGCTCCACGAGGAAATTTGAGCAGTTTGAATCTAACTATTAATCGCAAGACGCTTATCCAGATGATTCTGACCCTGTTAGCATGTGATGAAGGTTGTGTTTTCAAAGAATCCAGGACTAGCCACGGTCTGCTAAGTGGTGTTAGGGAACTGACGGAAATGTGCAGGCATGCACACACGCACGCTCCTTCACGTCTCATTCCACCTTGCCCATCCATCACACAGCACTTACTCACTCTGCAGACAGCAGTCTGACGGCAGGCTGAGCGCTGCTGGATGGAGATTGAATGTGCAGAGAGTTACGGCCTACTCCGGAAGGTTGTGACGGAGTACTGTCGCAACCTTGGAAAAACGTTCGCACCGGAAGGGACTAGGCGCGTTGCCATGGTGACGCAAAAACTGAGATGTTAATCATGTGGTTTTTAAGTGCGTTGGTGAAGTGAGATATTTATTAGTGTCAACAAAATGCAAGAGTGCAGAACAGCTAACAGTCTCTCCACTCAGCCTGCGCTCTCAGATAAAACTGTACAAACGCTGTTACTAGGGTGGTAACCTCAGGGGCACATCTTCAGTATCTTTAGTTAGGGGACATAATTGTAATATATTCCTTTGCAATTATAGTTTTTAATATTGTATTGACTCCATATGCCCTGTTATGACTCCAGACTTTTTATTTCATTTTATTTTTAAGTAAGGTATAAATATCCACATTTCCTCTAGAAAAGTGAATAAAGATTACTTGTAAAAATCATTTTAAGTACTCAGTTGGACCTTAAAGACCATGTGGCACCTTGGGGGGTAACCATGTGGGACAGTATTCTCACCAAGTGAAAATATCTTGCATGTAGGCTCTGAAAGATGATGAGATAATGTTGTTTATCATACTTAAATTTAAGTTTAATTATGGTTTATTACACATGTAAGTAGAATTGGCCAATTTTTACATATGGAGTGAAATGATCTTACAGATTAGCACAGATTTTTTAAATGTCTTGCTTTTTATTCTTTTATTGTATCTATTATTATATCTAGCTAGAGAGAAAGTACACAGGAAAAATTACAGGCTTCCCTTAAAAAAATAATGAGCTGATAAAAACTATGCTTGAAGGAAGAAATAATCTGCCAAAGGGATTATTTCACTTCGTCATTAGTTATAATCTTTAATGCACATTGCTAGGAAATAAGAAAGACAAATGTTAAATTGAAGTTAATGTGAAGGTACATGAAAAATAACACATTTACAATATTTGTCTTTGAAACTCCAATGAGCCTCCAAGGGAAATGTAATGAAGTGTTTTACCTAGGGATATAATATACACTGTGTGTAGTTGCTGATGTAGGTTCTAACAGTGTATGACTGTAATAGACAAAACTCAGGCTTCAATATGGGGATTACAACTGTTTTTAGCTCTGCAATGTATGGTTGTCAATTTTGCCCAATTAACCGTGTTTGACATCAGAAGAAAATTGTGTAAATTCGATTTTTTGAAGGATTTAAAAGGTTAACAATCAGTGTAATGTTCTGAACTTTAGGATGTTCAGCCCATATTTGTAAAAGAACTAAGCAGTTTCTGCTAGTGAGTGAATAATATTTGTGCTTGGGTGTTTTTTAACACTTTGGTGATGAAGGGAGGAAAGTGGCTATTTCCACATTTTGCTCATCCACGTCAGAGATTTCTCAACGTTGTTGTTGCATTTGTTTTGATATGTATGTTGACACGATCTATGAAAGCTGAAAATTCTTTCTTTTTTCCTTTTTGGCTTCACAAACTCCCACTTTGACCAAGCCAACATCTGAACGGGAATATTTTTGACTCATTTTATTGTTTCTTTGATGAAACAAATCTACAGTAATTGTTACCATAGCGATCTGAATTCTGTTCTGAAAGTGCTAGTTTAGGAACTACCGCAGTGCAATAAAGGCAGCATGGAGCTTCTTTTATAAAGTGATAGAAATTTCATAGACTTAAATGAGACAAAGGCAAGGTAGCTGGATGTATGGCTAATGATACTTCACATAAAATAAGGTCAAAGGCTTTGAACCTTGTGCCTACCTGTGTGTGTTCTTTGGTGTGCCTTCAGGTGAGAGCTCTTCGTGTAAACTTTCCGGCAGCCATTGAATTGACAGCGGTGGACCCTCTTCTTGTTCTCTGCTAAGTCTCCACCCCCTGCTGAGCCCACCTGCTCCCCATCACTGTGGCCGCCCCCATGCTCAGGCGAGGTGGGCCGGGCAGATGCTACCTTCCTGGCCACCAGCTTGAGCGTTAGGGTCCCATCAGGCGAAGCACAGAGAGTGTGAGCAGCCTTGACCAAATGCCGGCCCAGTTCTGGTGAGGAGGGTGGGGTCAGAGAGGTGACTGCATTCAGTTGGGCAGCATTGACTGTGGTAGCGAGGTCTGGGTTAGGCAAAGGGGCCGATGGCGATGTAAGGGGCTCTCGAGGGGGGCTGAGAAGGGGTGGAGGGGGGCTTGGAGGGTTGCTGAGGTTGGACAGCAGTGGGTCCATCGTGTCCTCCTCCTCCGCTTTTGTGAAGCCCGGCGAGAGCAGGCAGTCCAGTTCGTCTTCGAAAAGGTCCGACAGCCGCTTAGGTTCCGTCTGGAGGTACCGCTCAAGCTCCAGGCATGTCTGGACAAAGAGATGCGTTTTGTTTACTTACACAAGCAAAATCTTACAAATTATTAGAACTGATCCCATGTAATGTGTTATTAGTTGGTTTTGTCTAGTGTTTATAATGTTAGTCTGCATATAATTTTATTCTAGTCAAGCTGCTGTTCTTGGACTTGGACAAAAGGCATGAATCTTGTGGATTAACTAAGATTAAGTGACCCCGTTATTAGTTCCACAACAGGGAAATTTCACCTCCGCATTTAACCCATCCCTGCAGTGAAACAACACATACACACTAGGAGGCAGTGAGCACACTTGCCTGAAGTGGTGGGCATCCCTATCCGTGGCACCCGGGGAGCGGTTGGGGGTTAGGTGCCTTGCTCAAGGGCACGTCAGTAACGTACCGTCGGTTCAGGGGATCGAACCAGTGACTTTCTAGTCACAGGGCTGGTACCCTAACCTCCAGCCCATATACTGACCCCTATTGCTATAGATCAACTATATCCATATTTCAAGCCACTTACAGATCACTTCTAAATGTTCTCATCAAATTAGTTACTTCTATGAATTATCAGGGGACAGTGGTCAGACAAACACTAAAATTGTTGGGTGAAACAATGAGAATGCTTGTGCAAATTCAGGATGGTAGAATTATGCTACAGGAAGCTTTCAATAATCAACAGGCACCATTTATTAGAAAATTAATACACGAATCTGAAGGAATAGGCAGTACCGCTCCGTATCCACTTTATTTGAAAACCCAACCTTGTAGGTCCACGTTGCTGGTGCATTGTTATGGCATTCGTCCACCGGAAAGTGCAGTATGTTACAGTTACAATCTGTCATCATACATTTTTTTATAATGTCCACTGCCAGGTACACAATCTGTAATGTACTTGGGTACCCTTGCGGAATTCGGTTACCTTTCTTGCTGGAAAACTAAGTGTCCCAAGTCAGAACTGGTCAAACATAGTCATCATATGAATCATATATTGCTCATATTTAATCATCATTTGAGTCAGACAACTGCCACTTCTGAAAAACATAAGCTATTAATCATCACTGTAGGTAAAACCAAATGCAGAATAATAAAAGGTGAATCAAACATTGAAGCTCCTTGTAGGCTACATCATCTATAGTCCATAACCGTACCTAAACCAGATTGGATGGAAAACATACACATCAACCAGCAGGCCCAAAGTTTTATTACACACTTCTATAATCTAAAAGCAGCTCAGCCATTTTGTCTTGAAGTCCCTGTAGTTACTGAATAATAAGTCTTAGTATGTAATACGCCTGAGATTTTAAGGGGTTAAATAAAGAAGTCCTACTTTTTTCCCTCTGCATCATACCATGATATAATTCTGGTTCATAAACAAGTACATTAGAACCTGGTTCGTTGGGTAACACATGATGGAACCAGAAACAGGTCCTTCAAGGTCCTCCAGCATCAAATAATGACACGAAACAGAATGAGAAATCAGTCATTACACAATCTAAACGTAGTCCCAGAGCTGCTACACAATGGCAATGACTGATGATTCTGTGTGTCTGCTTCCCTGACACTCTGACGAAGAGTTGAGTCTTTTTTTGCTCTCCCTCTTTCTCTCTCTCTCTCTCTCCCTCTCTCTCTCTGTCTCTTACTGCCTCTCCAGCATGTTATTTGCTTCAGCAGGTCTTCAGAGATAGATGGTTAGACCGTGATTGATTACACAGGGCCGAGTGGAGCTCTGTGGAGCTGAAGAAACAGAACTGACCTGAATTACCTGCTGAGGACACAGAGAAAGACGAGGGAGGGGGCTGGCAAGAGGGGTGAGAAAGAACAGGCTGACTGAGAAAAAGAGTGGAGAAGAAGAGAGCAGGAGAGAAGGAGGAAAAGTGAGAAAGGCCAACAGAGATAAAGTGAGAGAGAGATAAAAGAAGAGACGGGCTCACAGGAAGAGAGACAGTATCTTCTCTGTATTGGATTATTTCTTATGCTTGGGTTGAACACCTTAGCCTACAAGTGTTTAACCTTATTCATTCTAATTTGCTTCTGTTTTTTTGTTTTGCATGATCATCTCATTTTTGACAGTAGCATCATATTTTATAGCTCTATCCCAGGTTCAGCACAAGACAATACATTTACATACACACTAGAAAAAGAGATATTAGTCCGTAGACAACCTCAAAAACAGTCCTATATTCTAGGATAGGAGATATTAGTCCATATTCAACCACAATAGACATGCCTAGAAAAGGAGATATTAGTCCATAGACAACCTCAAAAACAGTCCTATATTATAGGGTAAGACACATTCGTCCATATACAACCACAATATACATGCCTAGAAAAGAAGATATTAGTCCATAGACAACCTCAAAAACAGTCCTATTTGTCTAGGATAAGAGATATTAGTCCATATACAACCATAATAGACATGCCAAGAAAAGGAAATATTAGTCCACAGACAACCTCAAAAACAGTCCTATTTTCTAGGATAAGAGATATTAGTCCATATACAACCATAATAGACAGGCCTAGAAAAGGAGATATTAGTCCATAGACAACCACAATAGACATGCCTAGAATAGGAAATATTAGTCCATAAATAACCTCACTAAACACTCCTATACACTAGAATATGAGATATTAGTCCACAAACAAAAGTAAATACACTTCAGTACACTAGCATAGAAGATATTAGCCCATAAACAACCTTAATAATATCTCCTATACATGTGAATATAAGATAGTATTAATATAATCCACTTGTCTAGCATATTTTACCTAAATTGGTGTGGTTGTACAAACTTCAATCTACATATGTGGCTGTATTATCTACAGAATTTATGTACTGAATGCTGCATAAGCAGATACTTAATATTAAATTACCAGGATCAGAATTGGGGATTACAAAATAGACGAGGACATCCCTAAACTTTAAGTGATTCATCAAAAAATACAAAACTAGCACTCCAAATAACTTACCTACATATTTCCCTTCTGAATAGAGATTTTTAAAATCCAAAAATTTGGGTACATTCATAAAATAGAATTACAGTAACAAAGACCCATTTCAGCAAGTGTTTACAAGGCTGTTGGTGCAAGCCTTGATTTCAAGGGCTGTTGAGACCTATTTGATGGTGTTATAACACATTCAATTTTATCCTATTTTTATCCTATCGTCACACCAATTTCTAATAAAGTGAAAAAAGAGTGTTGACCCTGAGGACTGAAAAGTCATGTCCCAAAAACAACATGGCTGAATAGACTTCGCTGTCATGATAGGCTTATTTTTTATCCCTTCTAACATTTCAGTCACTCTGCTCTGCTGCTTTTATCACTGATTTGATACATTAGACGAGTTCGTCTCCGCTGCTGTTGCTAAGCAATGAAACATGCTTGTCATTTTTGAGAGCGACGTCTGCAATTTTGTCAGCGATAAAAGCATTTTAATGTGGGCACTGAACTCAAAGAGGCATGTAAACACAGCCAATATTAGCTTTCGTGCTTTCATTCAGGTGTCACTCGGAAATTTAGGCTTGTGTGGTACAGCTGGTGCTGTTAACCATGATGGCCTAAGTACTTGAAAGGATATCTATGTCTTTGGAAAGACTGTGCAGGATTTCTTGAGGGTGTAGTTAATGCTAGTGTCTGCTTCTCTCTCATTCTTTGTAATTCATCTTACTAATAGGGGTGTAAATGCGTCAATCTATTTGATTCAGCTGTATTGATTTTGGAACAGTGCATTCGATTCTAGTACTACTTTCACTATGCACTCAATTATTGGCTAAAATTTAGGTTTTCATTGTCGGTATAGACTCTCTCTTTGAAGTTATCATTTTACAATCTGCATTATACCCATAAAAGGAGATTCTAGCCTAAGCTATTTTTCTCAATGGGAAAAATAAATCAAAATTGCTCAAAAATGGCCTTTATCGTACCCTGTGGTAAATAACTATGTTTGAAATTTAATACATTTTGTCTTCGATTTTTCATTTAAATGACCCCTCTGAACTACGGGGACGTTACAGTCTAAATATGAATATTGCTACATGCAAGCTAATACTGCTGTGCACTGAACTGACATCATAAGACTGGTAAGCTCCCCAAAATACCCCATGCAAGCCAGCAGGCTTTGTCAAATTTGGCAGTTAAGTTGCTCTGGCAGTAGTAACCTGCAGTTGCTGGCTTTGCTATAAAATAGTACTGGCGTACAGTAATAGACTTACTTTTATGAGCGTGATTTCATTTGACAGGAGCTTCTGGAAAGGATGTAGCAGTTCCAAAAGGAATTCTGATATAAGGCAATATATGGATTTCAAATATTTGACATATATAAGAATCCATAATAGAATATAGACCCTGCATAGACCCTGGAGTTCTGTATATGCGCATGCTGTTTCCAGTCATGTTACTGACCTGTTGCAATTAACTGGCTCCACCAGGTTTTTTTAGCATTAGACAACTTTGCTAGTGATTCGTTGCCCTGCCCCATTTTTTTTTATAATTTGTTCCTGGCATTAAGAGTCAGATGATTAATTATCTCAAATTTAACCATGATGTGATAATTGTTCATAAATAAAATCATATGTGGAAGTTTGCACTTCCTGGTCAAAACCTGGTTGGTTTTCGTCATTTTTATTCTAAAAATAAATACATACCCTCTATAGAAAACTTACATCTTTAATGCACAATTACTGTTTGTTTGCTGAATTTAAGATATTGGGGTAAAGAAAGGATACACAAACTGTGACCTGAGAAAAATTATAGAACATTTTATATTGTATATGTACATTTTATATATTAAACTCTGCAAATAAGTAGAAATTGTGCACTAAAATGTGCAGGGAAATTCCAGATTAAGTTCATTCTCTGTAGAAGACATGCTAACTTATTTTCACTTAGAATGTAAACAAAACATACCAGCCTGTTTCCAAAAAAGTTGGGTATGTAAATAAGAACAGAATGCAATGATGCGCAAATTATCTGAACCCTAAGTTTAATTGAAAATAGCACAAAGACAACATATCAA